TTCAATGTAAGATTTTCTTTCAATTTATCCACCAAAATTAATCCTAAAATGTCTCTCCACAAAAATGTAGTAGTTTCCACGACCAAATACTTTTCAAATATACATTTAAAAAAGAATAATTTCAAAAATTTAGGAAATTGAAACTTCAACGTTTAGTTCAAACACGATCTCAGAAATTTGTTTTGGATTATGGTGGCCTATTAAATATAGTACTATTAAGAATCGTCATAGAACAGAAATTAATAAGTTATGTATTCACAAACATTTAAAATACAAAAATGGTGTTTTTTGGAAGATTTTAGATCGATTTGCATCACAAAATTAAAGAAATATATTTCTAAATATGTAAAAAATTTTCGACATTCATTGAAATATCGAAGAATTGCGGACTGACATTTTTTACGTTTACAAATTTTGTTAAGATAAAGCAAATTCTTCAATTTTGATAAATAAATTATCATTTTTCCTGTATACATATTGTTTAAAAATTTTTTTGTAATAAAACAGATTCTTCAAATAAACTTATATTTAAGCTTTCCCAGATGTTTTAGTATTAAAAAAAACTTACTTTACTGACAGTTTATTAAATTTATTTTTATCTTTTTTATTATCTACATGCAAAAATAAAAAACCTACCGTTAAAATATGTTTAGTGTAATTACACGTATAGCTTAATAGTTAACACGAATAATTATTTTATATTTTTAACATAAATTGTTAATTAATTCGCTAGCTTATTTGAAAACTGACATTTGTTGACACCTACTAAGCTTTCTTTATTGTGAAATAAATCAAGGATATTTAGGTACTTTTGGGGTATCCCAAATCAATTTTCAGGCATCATAACAACCCACGATATTTCCCTCAAATATCCGCAAAAAGTTTATCGAATAGAGAAAGGAATAATTATTGAATCCCTGACCATTATGAGACCTTTATAATTATTAGTCCGCCCTTATTTGTGATAACCCATAAATACCAATCTATACACTCAAAAAATTCTTATGACCCGACACCGGAGATAATCCATGGACCATTTGTCTTGATTCCAAACATTTTCAAATTTTGTCCGCAAATATTTTGCGGACAATCCGCAAATAATTTTTTTTCCATTTTTTCTTTAATTTTTTCTTAATATTTAACGCTTTATTTACTTTTTATCGAATTTTTCATCACTTTATTCGTTGTTTACATACTTGCTCATCTTTTTCGTCCACTTTATCCACTTTAAACTTTTTTTATAATTTTATTCATCTTAATGACTTTCAATTGCTTTTAATTTACCTATTTTATCTTCATCAATTTTTAAATTAATTAAAATCGTTCATCATTAAAGTTAATACAGTCTGATCTCCTTGTAAGACTCCAAACTCCTTTTAGTTCACAAAATTCCCGATTTCCGAAAATCGGGACGACTAGATACATGGTTATCTTACATATGTAGTTAAAATAGATCGAGATTTTTGAAAAGCCCTGTTCCTGGACTCTGGAGTTTGATTTCCTGTCCTGGACTGGATCCTGGGGATAGTCCAGTAAAAAACCCAGGCCCAGGAAAAACCCAGGAAAGTCAAAAAATGCCTGGACCTGGACTCTGGGTACAGGAAATACCCAGACCTTGGTCCAGGCCCAGCTCGATCTCTAGTAGTTACTCTTATTTTTTACTTAAACTCCGAAAAAAATTTAAAAATTTTTTCCTTTTGATGGTTTTTTCTGTGTTGAATACCCCCCATACCTCCCTACAAATGGTCAGTGCTGTTTGCTCTTTAAAATATTTTTTTACTTTTTATTTACACTAAATTCTTCTGCTCTCTTGCACATTAATATATTTTTCTTGTTTTTGCTTACTGAAAGCCCTCACAAATATTTATCGAGTGAATAGTGGCGACTCTCCTGCTTGCTCATTAGGAAGATTTATTTTTGACATATGCTTCTCATCAATATGTATAAAATAATTAATCTATTCAGAACGCTTTTTTAAATATTTTTAAGGCTTTTTTTAAATTTAAATTTTAATTATGTCCTAATATTTTTAAAATTAGTCAAAAGTCTTTTAATTATCTCTTGATCAAAACATGAGAATATTTTTAATTTAATTTTACAAATCTTGATTTACAAGGGAGAGAGATTCAAAATTTAAGACAAAAATTTTTTCAGACAATTTTTGGAGGGGTGGAAGACTTTCAAAAAAATTTCCAGCTTCGGATTAGAGTTGAGGATCAGTAAAATATATCTATCACGAAAATTATAGAAATCCGGAAAATTATAGAAAATTATAGAATCGGATCCAACTATTTTAGAAATTTTCTTTGATAAGATTTAACTCGAATATAATTAAATTGAAACTCGAGGCTTCAAGACTCCCTCCTTCATTAGGTCGGAAAAATAATTACCCTGTGTAAAATAATTACCCTCCCATTTTGCTTTTGAACATTTTTTCAATGACAGAATCAAACAAATAGCAGAAAAATACAAAAATGATTGATGAATCATTTTTCCATGCTTTAAACATTTTTTAAATTTATTTTGATCTTTGAATTTTTACAAATTAAATTCTTCTTGTTTTTGCTCTTTTCCAAGCTAATTCCAATAATATATTTTTTTCAAAAAAATTTTCTCTTGCCGTTCTAAACCCCTATACTTTTCCTATTAGCAAAAATAGTTTTTGGGGTTGAGAGAAATGCCTCCTGCTGCTTTGGCGTCTTATTTTATTCATCTTATTCAACTATTTTCCCTACCTTTACACTAAATTCTTCCTCCCTTCTTCCTCTTCAAATTCTTCCCTTCCCTCAAAAATTGTAAAAAAAATAAGGTAAAAAGCCACATTGCCGTCGTTACAAAAAACAGAAGAAAATTTTTTCCTTGGTTCCTCAGTTATTTTCCTCAATTCCTCCCTCATTTTCCACAATTCCTCCGTCAGTTCCTCCCCCAGTTCCTTACTCAATTTCCCCTTATTCCCTTGGTTCTCTCTCATTTTCCTCAATTTCTCCCTTCAATTCTCCCTCAGTTCCCCGCTTATTTTCCTCAGTCTCCCCTTATTTTCCTCAATTCTTCCCTCAGTTCCTCGGTTCCCCCTCAATCCCTCTCCCCTCACATTTTTTCACATAAATTATATATTTTTCTATATATTTTTTTCCAAGTTGAGTCACCCCAACAACCTCCTCTCCCTCCCTCTTTTAACATTTCCTCACATACATTTTTTCATCTTTTACGAAATAAGCTCCCTCAAAAATTTTTATAGACGGGGCAAAATATAAAATAAAATAAAAATATTATGATTGCGCTCTTTTTGGACATTGTTGTCGTTTCTTTGATTTTTCTCTTTTTTGCTTCCTACCACCGCCTATTTTCGAGGCGAACAAATAAAGGCTTAATACAAACACAAAAAAGTTGGGGAACAGTTATAGCTACTACATTTAATAAAACTACAAATAAAGTCAATAATAATAATAATTTTAATAATAAAATGCCTAGCACGGCGAAAGAAAATTTAATTGAACAACAAAAAGGTGAGTAATCATCTTTAGGGAGGGGTGGGAGCAAATGAATAAGCAAATAAATAAATTGGGGGGAAAAGTATAAATTTTGTAATTTATTTATTGGATTTTGTAATATTTATTTCATTATTTAAAAAGTTTTTTTTAACTCTTAAAAAATATTTAACTAAAATTCTAAAATAAATTAATAAAAAAATAGAAAATTTTTTTGAAAAAGAATTTTTGTTTAGTAACAAAAATGAACTCGGATACTCAATCTAAACAACAAATACTTTTTGAAGATCCAGGTGAATATAAATAATTTTTAAAATTTTTTTATTTATTAATATAATTTTTAAAAATATTTTAAAACTTGGAAAGATTTTTTCTATTATTTTGGAGTTTTTGCGGATTTTTTTGCAATTTTTTTTTGTTTTGCGGACTTTTTTAATTGTGCTGATTTTTCCGTTTCCGTATCTTTCTTATTCGGTGTATTTTTGAGTTTTTTCAAATTTTCCGAATTTTTTTTATTTTTTGCGGATTGTTCCATCTCAAAAAATATTAATTCTAAAATATTTTGGAATATTTTCATCTCATTAATTATTTAAGAAAAATTTACTGGAGAAAAAGTCCGCAAATAATGTCCGCAAAATATTTGCGGATTTTTATTTTTCCATGTTAAAAAAATAAAAATATTTTTCATTATTCAATTAAAAATCAAATTTTCTTCCTTTTAAAAATAGAATTTCCTGCAATCTGGCAGAGCATATATTGCGAGGAGAGGGAGTCTGATCTACCCTCTCCTAAAGGAATAATATGGAAACGTCCTTGGGTAAATAATTAATTTTACCTTTAAAATTTCAAAAAAAAATAATTTTTTTTTAAGGAAATTAATAGTAATGCCTGTTTTATTCGTAACCAACCAGACAATTCAGCCTTCCAATTAAAAGATATAGTCCAAGGCCAATTACGCGATTGTTGGTTGGCGGCCGCGCTTTTAGCGCTGATTCAATCAGAAGAACATTTTAATGCAGTTATTGACCCAACTTTAAATAATAAATTAAATGATGAAAATTATACAGGTTTTGGACATTAAATTATTTAAAAAATTTTTTTGGGTCAATTATAGCCTCAGGCAATTTAAGAATTTTTTAATGCCTGAGGCAATATCCGACAAAGGAAACAAAAATATAATTTGATCCTTTAGAGCCTAAATATATGAGCACCCTTGGTATAATGTCAAAATAGGCATATGTGCTTAAATTTACTCATTGAATTACAGTAAGACCTTCTTTAAATACCCCTCGCTAGTGAAAGAAAAATAAACGGAAACTTATTTTTATCAAAAATTGCCTCAATCAACATTAATCAGTGATTTTTCAAATTTAAGTTAGGACAATTTCCTAGTATAATCTTATTTGTCGAGGGAGTTATTCACGGTCCCAAAATTTATAAAAATATTATGATTTTTAGAAAAAAAATTTAGGAAGATTTTTAATAGAAAAATATTTCTAATTTATTTTTAGGTAAATTTGCTTTCAATTTTACTATCAAAGAGACTACAAGGGAAGTTATTGTTGATGATCTTTTACCCACAAAAAATTGCCAACTTTTATTTATGCATTCATCTGATGGATTAACATTTTGGGCTGCTTTATTAGAAAAAGCATTTGCAAAGTAAATTTAATTAATTATGGGACTATTTTCGTATATTAAAATTGGAATAAATACCACTGAATCCGGAAAAATCGTTCGGATCAGGGTCAGATTTACGTGTGTAACTGATATCCTCCGGAAATTTTGATTCTGTAAAATGTACTCCAACTTTTTGGTATTTTTAGGCTTCAACGAACTAACCGTACATTCCCTATCGTATGTTCTCCTCCGAAATTTAACTGGATATAAAACTGAAGCTTATATTCCACTTAATCCCTTCATACATTGTATCTGGATTCAGCCGTATTTTAATGGGCTACCCGACATTTTTAAGGGTCATGTTTTCGAGGCTATTAATCTTGACCTTTTGCTTAATCTACATCAACATATCCTCAGTATTCGTGTCCTCAAAAGTCCGCAAATTTCACAATTTAAAATATTTTTTAAAGATTATATGGTTCTTATGCAGCATTAGAAAATACCAATCATTTCTATCAAGCCTTGAGGCTTTTAACTGGTCCAGGCACTATAAGATTATACATGTTAAGAGATATTACTCGATCTCAATTAATTCGGCTATTTTCTACAAGAATAACAGACATTAGATTGTGTAGATTTTGTTGTACAGTAACGGTAAATCAAAACTACTTGAAAAATATAAATTTGATATTTTTGGATAGAATGGATTTATTGAAAAGAAGGGCCATACAGGAAGAGGAGTTTTAGCCATGCGTTCATTCACTATTCTTGACTTTATTGAAGTATGTAGTTGATTTTTAATATAAGGTTTAGGCTAGTCTACGGCAAATGGATTTTTCTGGTGCCAATAATACCGGTAATGAAAATTCCGAAAAGTTTGCCTACTATACCTTTCCTGTATTATTAGTGCAAGAAAAAATTGAATACCATATTTATTCTAATATAACGACAGTCTCTATTATAACGACAGCTCTAATAAAACGACACCCTAGAAGAGGGTTGAAAAATAAAACGACATGTCGTGATATTAGAATAAATACGGTACTAGATTTTGTTTCCTTGTAGGCTCTCTTTAAGAATGAAATCCCCGCATAATAGAGTATATTAAAATCAGATATCGATATTTTAATAAACCTTGACTGGTAAAGATGAGCAGGAACATGAAGAAAACCGGGGGGACATGAATGATCGAGAATTCCTTTTTCAAGTTTCCTTTTTTAAAGATGACCAGAAACCGGTTAGGAAATGGAACCAGATCCCGTTTCCCTTTTAATATCCATGCATAAACCTATTCTTATCAAATAAAAATAATGTTTTAAGGATCGGCGGAGGAACAATTACTTAATAAAAATTAGAAATCCTTGGTCTAGAACAACAACATCACAAACTAATACTTCAAAATCAACAGAAAACAATTCTCCAAAATGGGAATACGTTTCTCCAAGATTTCGAGGAATTATACAAAAAATCGAGAATGGTTCCTTCTTATTGGGAATAGATTCATTCCATTCATTTTTTGATTATATTGAATGGTGGCAGAAGGAAGAGGAGGAAGTTGAGGAAGAAAATAAAAAGAAAAAGGAAGAAAAATTAATTCAACAGCAACCCCCACCTCCATACGAAACTACAACTTTATTGAAAGTAGAAGTTTAGAAGCTTTAAAAATATTTTAAAAAATAAAACAACAGATATATAAATGCCCAGATGTTTTAAAGGAAAATAAAAAAAAGATGCTCATCACTTAAAAAATATTTTTTGAAGAAAGATTTACTATATTTATTTATTTATTTTGATTTGTGTAAATAGACATATTACTGATTTAATTTTTAATTTGTATTTAAGCTTAAAGACTAAAATAAATTGAAAAATATATGAGAGTATATGTTTATTATCTCTCCTAGATATCCCAACAGTTTATCCAAATTATAGAATAAACATTGGCGTCAGTTGCACGAAATTGCGGATTGCGTTTGCGGATTTTTAAAAACTAATTGCGAGTTGCGTGCAGCCCTGATTGTCTCTGTAGGCTAAGGTGGAATCTTGGGTTAAATCAGAAAGAGGTCTAGCCGTGCTGGTATGATCCTCTAGCCGTACTGGTATGATTCAACTAGAGTGATCTTGAGACATACCCTCTATTTTTATTTCTAAACCCAAATATAAGAGATTAACTTTTTTGAGTTTAAAAAATTACAAAAAAGCCTTCTCTCAGATAGAGCTAATACAGTAATTTATATCAGCAATTAGTCAAAAGTGGTATGATGCTCCTCATTGAGAAGGCTCAAATATATAAGTCAAGAACACTACCAACTTAACCACAAAAGTAAACATTGATGGATTAAATAAAATATGTAATGAGTTTATTAATTTGAATCAATACTAACTTTATTTTAATATTAAAAATATAGTTATTCGTTAATCAAATTTCTTAATTTAATGTAAACTAAAGATTAATTATAAAAATTAATGTTACAGCGACTTTAGAGATTTAATAGGAAGCTCTGTTTTCTGTGCCTTGGTAGTTATTAGTACGGTTAGATTTTTAGGAAATGCAAAATTTGAATATAAAAAATAATAGCTCATTCGAAAGAGCTCATCGAGACGGGTTTCCTTGTATGCCTTATATGGAAGGTTAAAATAAATAGTCATAAATTTTTACAATCAAATCAGATTTTATTTTAATAATTATATTTTAATATTAAACTATAAAATAATGAAAGGTAAATTTGTTAAATTTTTATAATTAATGTTTTTGGCAGGTTTCCATTACCTGTTGTTTAAATGAGGTTTAAACCAGGGTTCGGATTCGTACTCATTTTGGAAGTACAGTACTTACAAATCGACCCTTGTACTTCCAAAATTAAAAATGTACTTATTTGTAAGTATGTACTTACAAATAGACTTCTTGGTTAAAAAATTAAATTTAACCTTAAAATTCTCAAAATTTTCGCCTGCGGCGCAATAAATGGAAGACTACTATTTGGAGCCAGCGGCGCCAAAAAAAGTCTTGAAAAATTTTTTTGTAGCGTACTTATATTTTGAAAATTTTTCCCCCTATGTACTTCCAAATTGAACTTTTTGTACTTACACTTAATATTTTCTCGATCCGAACCCTGGTTTAAACTATATTTATGAAATTATTAAAATATTTTTTCAAAGTAAATAATTGGGAAATGTATACAGGTATCCCAGCTAATGAGCTAAACCGATCTATTGAGTAATTCTATCGTCAAAGGCATTTGACTACTAAAGTGCAAATATAAAAATGTAATTATGTAATATTCTATGAAAGAAAAATACAAAAAACTTAAGCAAATAGTCTGCATGATATAAAGCAGTCTGCATGAATAGAGCAATTTTAGTCTTTTATTAATACCTATAAAATTTTTAAAATTCTGGGGGAAAGACTTATATTAATCCTTCTTCAACTGCTAACATAAAAGAACTTTTGACTATGAAATTAATTTTAAAATCTATTTTGCTTTAATATTTAAAAAAATTAGGAAAGTTCATTGACGCCTCGGCTTTTTCGCATGCTTGTCTCACGCATATTCTCGTCTAATTAAGCCTTTGGCTCAACTAATTGCCCTTTATCCAATTTATTACCACGCTTTTTTCATAATACTATTTCAAGCTAATCCTTAATATTTAGTCTATTTGAGTTATTAACTTAAAAAATAATCACAAAGAAGCAATTATAAAAATTTTTAATTTTTTTTAGAATTGTTTTGCTAAAATTGTTCTTATTTGGTATATTCATTATTAGGATAGCATGAGATCTCATATTAGTGCTTGAAATAAATTTTATTGCATCACTGTATACTTATAATTAGCTAACATAAAAGAACTTTGCAAAATTTATACCAAATGAAAAATTTTTAAAACATGTAAGGAACAAGAAAATGAGAGCAATAAATGACTATTTTTCGATGCTAAAAGCATAATTCATCCATTCTTTTAGTGCCGTAGGCAAAAATTATGGGAATTTCCTAAGACCAAAAGTAAATATCCTCCTTTTTATAACAAATGCAAGAAAACCGCGAAAAAGACAAAATCAATTTGTTGCGATATCAAATGATTGATAGGCCGTAATATCATTCATAAACACCGAAATTAAGGGAGATTAAAGTTGTAACAAATTATTTATTAAAAATGAAAATCTTTTATCGCTAAATTAGGATATCTTAATATGCAATTAGAAAGGCCACAAAGAAGCTTTACATGAAAAGTTTTAAGATATAAACTCAAATAAAAAATAGAACATACAGTAAGACTAATAAGGTGCAAACTGACATACCCGTTGTATAAGGACAGATCTTATGACTCGGTTCAAAATACTATTGGTTCAATTGACAAAAAATGGAAATTTTTATTTTTTAATATAGCCTAACAATAAGTCATTTACCAAATAAATATAAAAATATGACTGAGTAAATTTCAAAATATTTTAATGCTTTTTTGAATAATTATGATGTGGTAACTAACAAAAAGTGCAAATATCCATTTTGAGATATAGGCCAAATTTTAAAATAATAACAAAATAGAGGGGTAGTTATAAAAAGGGTGATGCGACTTTTGCGGCGCGTACACTTGCGGCTCAGACATTTGCGGCCCAGACACTTGCGGCTCGCCCCTATTTTGACACTTGCGGTCCCGACACTTGCGGCATAGAAATTTTCGGCGCAGACATTTGCGGCTATCAACTTGAGGCCCAGACACTTGCGGCCCAGACTATTGCGGTTTTGCCATTTGAGGCTCCCCCCTATTGTGACACTTGCGGCCCGACATTTGCGGCCTCGATATTTGCGGCCCCGACATTTGCGGCAATATTTAAAAATTAAGTAAATTAAAATAAAAAAATACTAATTTATCGTTTAATAAAATAAGTTTATTCTCCAAGTTTATTCTCCTTGGCATCATAATCCGGGAAATCCGAATTTTTTAGGGCGCTGGTCTAGTTTATGCGTCCAATGAAACTTTTATGCGTCCAATGAAACTTTATGAGTCCAATCAAAAAATAATTTGATTTTTCTTAGTACATATTGCAAAGTTGGTGTTGGTTCCAAAGCATTTCTTCATGTTCGGGACGTACGCCCACTGGGTCTGGGACCGTTCCTTGCCCTATCCCTCGAAATTTCGTTAAGTTATAGCCAATTTTTAAAAATTACGAAAAAACAATTATAACTTTCCGAAATTACGATGGGTAGGGCAAGGAATGGTCCCAGACCCCGTGGGCATAGGTCCCGAACATGCAGAACTGTTTTGGAACCATACCCCAACTTTGTAATATTAAGAAAAATTCAATTTTTTGTTTATTGGACTCATAAACTTTTCATTGGACGCATAAACTAGACCAGCGCCTTTTTTAAACCAGGATCCGGACAAGAGATAACCGAAATTTCGTTTCATTTCGTTTCGCTATTTCGTGCCCTTTTATCCATTTCGTTTCGGAGCGAAATAATTTACTCAATTTTTTTATTTACTTAATTTTTAAATATCGCCGCAAATGTCGAGGCCGCAAATGTCGGGCCGCAAGTGTCACAATAGGGGGGAGCCTCAAATGGCAAAACCGCAATAGTCTGGGCCGCAAGTGTCTGGGCCTCAAGTTGATAGCCGCATATGTCTGCGCCGAAAATTTCTTAGCCGCAAGTGTCGGGACCGCAAGTGTCAAAATAGGGGCGAGCCGCAAGTGTCTGGGCCGCAGATGTCTGAGCCGCAAGTGTACGCGCCGCAAAAGTCGGCTAATCATAAAAAGATATCTACTTAATATCAGTTATTTTAAATAGGAAAATCTTTTATTTGTATTTTATAAAATAGTTTTAATATTAAAATTTAAAATGAAAAAATTTATTATTCTTCTTCTCTCATATTTTGTTGTTCTGTTGAATATCCAAATCAACGGTAAAATGGCTGAGGTTGGATTAAAAATCAAAAATGATTGGGAAGAAAAAAGAGAATTTATTTATTTAAAAAATATTCAAATAAAGGAACGTTTTGTATTGATAATGAATGTAAATTCAAAAACGAGAATAGTTGATTATCTTTACAAGACTACTGAATCGTTTCGTAGGATTGAAGTGAACCCTGTTAAAAAAGTCTTTATTGTTAAACTAAGTCGGAGAGCTAAATTTAGCTCTCAATTAAAAATGAGAATTTTGATTGAAATTGCCAATAATGAAATTGTTAAGAAATTTTTGCCTAACTTGGGAAAACAAGTATTTTATATTTGATTATTCGAAATTTAAGCCTTCAATAATACAAAAATTTAAAGATTTGCCGAAATTATTATTTAAAAGTAAATAATAATTATTATGAAACTTCTATATTAGAAGAAACCTTAAAAAATATCAAAATAAATAAAAAAGAATTATTAAAAGAAAATATAGAATCTTATAAAAACAAAATTTTGTCAAGTTATTGGACGGAAATTAATTTAATTGGATATAAAATTGAATTGTTAGAAAAACAAAATGTTGAATTTACGGAAGAATTAATAAACAGAACAATTTTTATTGGCGATAAAATCAGTAAATATATTTTTAATTTTGTCTATCTTTTCAATTGACTAAAAAAATTTCCTTGATAATTATAGGTGGAATAATTGAGGTAAATAAACAGAATTGTTTCAATTGTCAATCAAAACAAAGCAAAAAATG